GTCTTTTGCAGTTTGTGATCGACTTATTCCGCAAATACTATCCAATGTCTGTGCAATCAATGATAGTATACAACAATCCCTGGTATTTACGAGTCTTCGAGCCGGTAGTGAAGGGATGGCTCTCGGAATCGGAGCAACAATTGCTTAGATTTGCGTCCGGAGACGAACTCTTTGATTATATCGACAAAAGCGATGTCCGGAAGTACTTGTTTGGAGAAACTGACGACCAATTCGTCGATTTGCCCGAAAAGTGTCGACCACTGGAAGAGTTGGCTAATAATTATGGCATAAATGATAAAGAAGTGAAGAAATACTTATCTCAATATCAGTCTATCATAGAAGAAGGCAAACAATTACTTAATTTCCCGTAAAATAAATAAATAGTCATTAACTTTATCCTATTAGTAAATCACTGTAAATAACGATAATGTTTCTCATAATTATAGTCATTCATTGTATTTATTTTATCATTCATTTTTTAACTGTATACTTTATATATAAAATACAATTAAAATAAATAATTAACATAAATTATGATCATAAAAATGTGTTTATTGCTGTCATTTATTAAATTAGCATTGATAATAGATATTAAATAGTTCCTCAATTTCCCTTATAGTTAATACATTATTTAATTCTGTAATTATTATAATAATATATCAATTAAAAAGTTAAAAGCTTTACTATGAAACAAATACCATAATGTCATAATTAAGAATTAGAATTAAATATAATATATATAAATAGCTTTATTCATCTTAATCATAATTAATTATTTTTAATTTTTTAAAATTTGTTGAAAATAAACTACAGAGTATAAGTCTTATAAACAATATAACATGACAAGTAATTGTTTACTTATAGTATAAAAGTAGTTTCTCATATTTTCATAATATCATAATAATTGAAAATAATGTCCAATAAAACCATTTTAATATACAAGTATTTTATTTACAGTTGTTTTAATGCAAAAATTTTACTAATTATTTACAAGTAATATACATAAACATTCACAAAAATTAATTAAGCACATGTTTAGATGTTAAAGATTTTTTGTTAAAATTCAATGATAATTGTGAACCAATTGTATCTATAGATTCAATTGCTTTATCAATCATAGCTCTGGTATGTGAGGCACTGACACACAGTCTTATTCTTACACCCAGTAGTGAAGTGACCGGATAAGCAACTCCTATTGTCGCTATTCCTGACTCCAGTAGACGTATTAGATAATACCTAAATTCATACCAAATAGTTGATGATATGATAACAGTTAATCATTTGTATTTAATATTCACGAAAAGTGATAAGAATTTAATTCTTACTTTAAATATGACTCCAAATAAACCATAAGAGGGACGACCGGCGAGTCATCGTTTCCGTCCAAATGATAGCCCAATTGTTTGAGTTTTTGTCGGAAATAAACTGTATTTTCGTGAAGACTTTTGAGACGAGTGTGCGAATCGTTTTGATTGTAATATAATTCCGTTAAAACAGATATGATTTGCTGCGCGACCGGCGGTGCCATTGGACAGGCGTAATGAAAAGCTGCGGTTTGGCAGCGCAGGTATGCAATGGTGTGTGCGTTGCCGGCTAAATACCCGCCCGCAGCTGCAAAACTCTTTGTAAATGTGCCCATAAGTATGTCCACATCCCTGGGGTCACACCCGTAGTAATCACAAACACCTATTGATTATAGAAATTATTATAAAAATGTTGTAAAAAAGTAAATAAAATCCTTACCCCTCCCTCGAGCACCTATAGCCCCGATACTGTGTGCTTCATCCAGATAGAGGTATAGCTTATATTGCTTTTTAATTCGTAAAACTTCGGGCAAATTAACAATAGTTCCCTCCATTGAGTAAATGCCTTCCATAATGACCACAATCTTCCTCCAGGCCCTCCCAGTGCGCGGCTGTCCACTCACTATAGAGTGGCGCACAATGCGCTCCAAGTGTGTCATATCGTTGTGTTTGAACACCTGGATGTGTGCGCCCGACGTTTTACAGCCCAATGCGATTGATGAATGATTGTGTTCATCGCTCAATACTAGACATCCCTTTCCAAACAGAGCAGACATTGTATAGGCATTGGTGGCAAAACCCATACCATAAACAATAGCGTCTTCAGTGTCTAAATACTTGGCCACTAATGTCTCCAAATCACAGTATATTTGTTGTCGACCTAAATGTTAGTTTTTTAATTTAAGATCATGATTAAAATATTGCCAGGTGTTTTTATTTTTAAGAATATATCAATTTAATTCTTACCTAATTCTGTGGCAGTACTACAAACTCCCACTCCTAATTGCTTAATGGTATTATCTACAGAATCAGTTATATGACCAGTAGTTTGTGCGTAACCAAGATAATTATATGATCCAAAATTAATTGCATTATAAACTCGCCCAGTTAATCTAGAATAAAATATGGTTTTAAAATTTTATAATTATTATTATTACACTTTTATTAAATAATAAAACTTAAATATAATTACTTAAAACTTCTATTGAATTTACTAAAATGCCTTTCCATTATACTAATGGTCTCACCGGCCACTGAGCAAATAGGATGAGCCAGTCTATCCATAAACCTCCAAATTATATTTCGATAATAGAAACCATAAAACTTAGTATAAAGTCGTTGAGTATAGGATTCTTCACTTTTGGTGTCATTTTCAATGAAATTCTTTTTAATACAAATTAAACACAAAAATTCATTTAAACACGCGTTTGATAAAAGCACAAAATGACTCAGGTAATTGTAGAATACCATATGAAAGGGAGCTTTTGGTCGGCTATTATCATACATTTTAGAAAAACTAATCGAAATACTAAACCAATATAATAAATTAATAAAATATGGATTAAATTTATCTATAAATATATACATAATAAATTTTAAACTATTTGTGGCGAACATCTTGGATAATTTTGTTTATATATAAAGGTTTGCGTTAATAACTTTTTAATTTGACATTTTTTGACGACACCTTTTTTGATTTAATGTGTATTATAAATGCGTTTAAAAATATTTTATGTAATGTACAAATAGTTATTATTCATAAATATCAAGGCTTCTCATTAAAATGGTCCCAAATTTTTTTTCATGACAAAATATAATTGTGAAATAGATTATTTTTGTATAATTTTTAAGTTAACATTCAATTGTGCGTCAGTTAACAGCACCAGGGTCTCATTGCTATATGTGATAAATTTGAATTATCTTTTTATATCCCAGTAAATTAAATTAAATATAAGTAATGCACTTTATGTCTAAGAGGTAGTTTTGATTTAAAAGTCTACTTGATAACATAATAGAATGTAGTAATAAGTTTGGACCCCTGTCCACACTTTCCTTAATTTGACAATTAGTGCGAAATCATAATAATATCCTATTATGACAATCAGATGAGCAAAAATGTGATAATTTTACACTTAATTGTCGTATGTTAAAAAATGGTGTCAAAAAACGTATAACAAAACATTGACAACAACATTATAATATTGATAGTTTTAAATTATTTATTTGGAAAAATAATTTACGCTTTTTATAATGTATTTTGTCAGCTCACTGTTGTAATACTGTACTACTGTTTGTTATAAATTGTAAACCTTCATAAAGCCATATAAATAATTCAATTAAGAGACATTTGGTTATACATTTGAAATTTTATAAAATAAAAATTTGTATTTTAATTTTAATTTGAAAATGTTTGACAAAGAAGTGGACATCAAGAATATACGGGAGAAGTTGCGTCTGGAGTACAGACTGAATACCAGTGCTTATTATGAGTCGGATGTAGAGAGAGTCCTATCAGACGACTGGCAAATTGAGCGCTTCTTCACAGAGGATGGAGTGGACGAACACAAGGCCTTCAAAGCACTCAATACAGCCCTGAAGTGGAGGAAATCGTATGGAGTGCTCGACAGAGACGACACATACTTTCCCAAAGAGTTTTATGAGATGAATGAGACTCAGGTGTCGGGACCTGATAGTGAGGGCCGCTATATATTCTGGAATTCCGGCCGTAATGTTAAGAAATCTCCGGCAGATGTTCTGCCTTTGATTATTCAATTCATTGTCTATCATATCGAGCGTTTGGATAGGCTTTCCGGCAGGAATGGTATGATAATGGTAACCGATTTTAGTCTAATAGGACTGGCCAATTATGATGGCGAACAAGTGCGTCAAGTTAACCAAATACTGTTTGACTACTACCCTGGTCAACTGAAATATTGTTATATTGTCAACTTTCCCACTCCTCTCATACCGTTCTTCAAATTTTTTTCTCTATTTCTCAACAAAAATATGAAGAATAACCTGAAGTTGATGTCAATGACAGAGATTAAGGAATGGGTGGATGAGGATATAATACCGGAGACATTTGGTGGCAGAAAGCCTGTAGTTATTGAATATCCAGAATCGGCCCAACCTTTGGAAAGGTCTCCACACTTTAAGTGTAGCGAAAAGCAAAAGAAATTGTTTTTTGAGTTTTATAAGAAAATGACTAAAAAATAATTCATGTCTCGACATTCAATTACTACTTAATGTTTTTGAATTAATAATAAAAATGAATTCAATTTAAATTTAATCAATTTTAATAAATTTTTAACGAGTTCTCTATCAAGGTTTACAATAAACATGACTTTTATGGCCTTAAATAATGATTTCAAATATTTCTTTTTAGATATTTGTAAAGAGCTTAAGAATTTTGATTTTTTATGCATTTTTATGTCCAATATATCAATTAAATCTTCTATAGTATTCTATACAGTCAATGTCCCTGTACTTATTGTACAAAACAGCTTTATTTAATAATTTGAAACAATAAAAAATTTTATGTAATATATTAAGTTACTTTATTACTAATTTTCTTATCATTTATTTATTTAATTTGAAATTTTATTTTTATTAAATAGTAATTTATAAATAATAAATTGTATTTATCATAGAGATAAATTTAAATGCAAATTTGTTTTTATTATTATTAAATTAAAACAGTTTAAACTTTAAAGGATATTAACATATTTATATATTACATGGGGTTTATTGTATTTTTTCTCGGGATTTAATTTCAGTGAGTTTTCCAAAAATAATTAATTTTTAAAATTAAAGATTTTTAAAGATCTCAAAGATGTAGAGATATGGGGTTTTGTATAGTTTCTTGGGTTTAGTGTTGGGAAGTTCGGTCATAAGTGATGCACATTTGGCGGAGTCGTCTTCATATTTGCTGCAAATCAAGTTCATTGACTCGACCGTCGATTTTCTGATGTGAGACTCATAGCCATCGATGGCCTCTTTGGAACAGGTGGTCGACGCCTTCTCCTTCAGTGCACTCACCGTACATCTGACCCACTCGTAGTAATTGCTATCAAATGACAATCAAATTAAATCCATTTTGTCATAAGAGTCAACACAAATGAATGTCAATTACCAGCAGACAATGGGAACTTTGCTCTTATCATTTCGCACTTTATTAGCCACTGCGAGCACCGAGATCATTTTGGTCCAGCACACGCCCAGCTTGGGTCGGGCACTGTTGCCACAACTGCCCCAACTCACGAACGCGTCCTTCTTCTTGCCACTCTTAGAACAGTACTGTTTGTTCACTTTGTCGAAGTTGTAGTTCCCTATACATACCATTGCCATCAATCAAATTGTCTGTTATATGATTACAATTATAATTACCTAAAGTGAGAAGTGTTTGAGATGTGCCCTCCAAACAGTCATCGCTATACTTCTTAGACAACTCTCGGGCGTCCTTTACATCACTGTATAAAATAAGCGCATAAATGATTGAAACAATAACTAATTGAATGTTCATTATATGAATGAATACATGCCGACAATATTCTTTCAAATCTTCGCGAGTTTTGGGGAATGAATAGTCTTCGGGTCCGAACTGTCCAAAAACGTTAGACATTCTGCGGTCAAACTCTCTTTTACTGCATCCCTTGTCATCAGCCCGGCCTCCAGTGGCCCTCTGTCTGCTACGGGCCTGAAGTCCGTATGACTGTCCAAAGTTGGCCGCAGTTACTGCCAAACAAATGATTAGGCAATTGAAATTCATATTGTTTTTTGCAATTTTATTAAGTGTATAAAAAATTTAATAAATTTTGTTAAATGTAATGCTTTTTATATAGATTATTAATAGTGTTAACGACACTTACAATTGACGGTTTACTGTGAATTAAGTGCCATAATAACTGTATTCTTAGAATTAAATCCTAAAAAATGATTGTAAATTTCCTAAAAAAGTTTTATTTTTTATATGGTTTCCTATATTTTTTAAAATTCCAAGTATTAATTTAAAGTTTAATGCGAATTGTATGTTATATAATAAATTGTTATCGATAGATCAATATGTGTGCCAATACGGTATAAACAAATAAAGACATGCAAGGATGCAATTTAATAACTTATTGAATAACTCTTATGTAAATATATCGCATGAGTTATGCAGTAGATGCACTTATAGATAACATCAAATAATTATCAAAGTAATGTTTAATATCCTTTAAAAATCAAACTATTCAACATATAATGAACTAAACAGCCTTACCAAAGGCGTATCACATAAACTAATGCTCATTGAGGTATAGAAAGTGTAATAAAATTTCAATGTTAGAATTTTATGAATTTATCACAATATAAAAAATTTATTGCAGTATTATTTAATGTAAGCTATTCCAAATTGAACAAGGATAAACATTATTTTAGTCGTAGATCTTTTAAAAGATTGTGCAAAATAGAGTAAAAAGGCAATTGGAAGGAAATCACCCTGGTTGTATTATTTATGTTAGCACTATTAAACAGCGCTAATACAGTAATTACTGTATAAATTTTAGTCGTAGATCTTTTAAAAGATTGTGCAAAATAGAGTAAAAAGGCAATTGGAAGGAAATCACCCTGGTTGTATTATTTATGTTAGCACTATTAAACAGCGCTAATACAGTAATTACTGTATAAGTAAGGTTTGGTTGTTTAATAAATAGCTTTTCATATATAATTAATTGAGTTAACGATAAATCCGGTGTTAATTGTAAGGAAGACGCTTAATATGCTTGAATTAGTGACAAAAAATAGTTTACAAATAAATTAATGACAATAGTTTAATGACAAATTGAAAAATGTGTTGTAATCTAGTTACTAGTTATCTAACGTAACAGCATTTTCGCATTGAAAAATAGCATTGAACTCAAAAAATTGTGTGTTAAATCTCTTACAAAAGTTTGATAAAGTTTTTCCTCCAAAATATAATTACGTTTTTTCAATGATGTCTATCATTGATGGGTATAAGACGGCGATAGCTTGGGTCGACTTGAAGTACTCGATACGCACCGGACTATTAAGGCGTTGGAAAACATTATTAGATAATGTGAACGGATCGGTAGAGTTCGGCGCCCTTACGGCCCTTATGGGACCCTCGGGTGCCGGCAAAACAACACTATTGAAATGCCTTAACGGCAAACTTAGAGCCGGGTTATCGTCGGACACAAAGCTATTCCTATCCTCAAAATATACATTAAATTCATGTCTTATCGGACAACACGAGAAAGAGTTTCTTATAATGAGATTAACTGTTAAACAGAATATGATTTACGCCTCAAAGTTGAAGAATAGTCTCAATAAGACATATACTGACCATGAGATGAATGTTATGAATATATTGGAAGAGTTACTGTTAGCACATGTGGCCGACAGTCTGGTGATGGACTGTAGCGGTGGTGAACAGAAACGCCTAACCATTGCACTGGAGATGACTTCTGTGGTTAAGCCTAATCTGCTGTGCATTGATGAGCCAACCACTGGACTGGACAGTGAGGCCGCAGAGACTGTGAGTTTATTTCTTTCATATATATAATTGTAAACTTAATTTACTTTGCATTTATGGCAATACCTGTAGATTATGAGAAGTTTAAAGTTGTTATCAAAAACGCATAGAATAGCAGTCATAGCGAGTATCCATCAGCCAAATAACGAAATTGTCCAAATGTTTAACAAGTTATATGTGTTAAGTACTGGTGGCCACTGTGTATACTCTGGTCCACCACAACACCTGTCCCCTGTACTAAGAAACTGTGGAGTAGTCGGCATTCAAGTCAATGGTGAGACAAATGGAAGTGACAATCAGACAGCCATTGAAATGTTATTAAAAATCTCGTCTAATAACGCAAACAATGATTATATCAAATGCTTGATACAAAACCAGAACATTAAAGCCAAACGCGATGTCTTAAACACCAAATCAAATGAATTGGTTTACAGTCCTTCGGGAATCGGATCCTTCAGCAAACGCTTCAGTTTCACAGATCTGTGGCATCTAATGGTCAGAACAATGCTCTACACATATGTCAGTCAATGGAGGGGTGTTTTGCTGCAGACTTTGTTTTACGTGTTGACGGCTCTCATCACAACACAACTCTTCACTCACGGGATCGGCACAACTGATGGCTGTTTTGAGAACTTATATGATGTCAACCGAAGTTGCTTTCGGACCCTAGAATCCGATGAATCTCTGCATCAAAACATTAAATTCATATTTCTTAATACAGTTGTCATAATGTTTATGCCTCTATCCGTTACTGCACTCGCCTTTCCATCCGAAGTTCAACTATTTCTCAATGAACATCAAAATAGTAATCAATTGTTTGTTTTTAATTTTGGAAAATTCTTACAAAAATAAAACTATAATTATCGAAATAGGGTGGTATAGTACTGGGTGCTACATAATCGTCAAGAGTATTGTGGAAGCGGTGCCCACAATAATCAATGCCATTATCTTCTCGCTGTTGACATATTTCCTATCAATGCAACCCACGGACATGTATCGAGTAATTGGTTACACAGGAGTGGTCACCCTGGGTATGCTCTGTACTCAAGCCATTGGCTATTTAATAGGCATAATATTCGTGAACTATCAAAACTTTTCCATCATATTTGCGATCGGATACTATAGTATTATTACATGTTTTTCAAACATTTTTATTCCAATCAAACAAATGCTCCCAATTTTACAACAGTTGAGTGAATTTTCACTCACGAAATGGACATCAAATATGGCTATAGTTATAATATACGGACACCAAAGATGCCCAGAAGGACACCACTCGGTTGTACTCGACAAATACGAATTGAAAGACGATCTGTTCTTAAAGTATATGACCTATCTCATTTTAAATGTATTCGGTCTCAGACTTATTGCTTATATTATGTTAATATTGATAACAAATCCGATCTTTAATATTAATAACATTTGGCGGAAGTGTATGCGAAGGGAAAGCAATGAATTGAATACAAAACTGTCAACCGATGAGGTCATTGAAGAGCATATGAAACCGTGTTCTTCGAAGCAATGCGATGATCTAGATGATTCAATTAGTCCAAGTCTTGTCTATAATAAAGACTTTTCAATGCAATTAATGTTTGAAAATTCAGATAATCTGCAATTATTGCGAAACAAACTGTGTATCGCGTGGTCTAGTCTTACAGTAACTAAACCTAAAGCACTATTTCAAAAGTACTAAATTTATTTTACTTTAGTTTAATTTAAATTTATTTACTAAAGTACAAAAATACTGTTTAAAATTTAGTGAGAAAATCATTTTGCGACAATTGAATGGATGCCTAGAATTGGGATCTCTTACAGCGTTGTTGGGAGCGTCCGGTGCGGGAAAGACATCTCTATTGAAGACAATTAACGGCACACAAAAACTAAGAATCGGAGACGAGTCCCACATTTATGTCTCAAAATTTATAAAAATTAGGACTTGTTTTGTATCACAAGACGTGACTGAACATTTGCTTAATGGACTCACTGTAGGTCAGGCTATGATGTATGCGTCCAAATTGAAAAACAGCAATTTACCCGATACTCAACTCAAGACATTTGATCACCAGAAGAATGTTCAAAGTTTATTGAATGAGTTGCTTATCAGTAATTGTGTGGACACTCATGTAAACGACTGCAGCGGTGGTGAACAGAAACGACTGGTCATAGCAATGGAACTGACGGCCGGAGTGAAGCCTAACCTCATATGTATTGATGAGCCGACCAGTGGTCTCGACAGTAATGCCGCGGAAGTGGTTTGTATTCTCATTATTATTGCACCACTTTTTCATTAAATACTGTAATCAATTGAATGATAATCAGGTGATTGAGTGTCTGAAGCGATTGTCACAAAAGCACAACATATGTGTCATAACATCCATACATCAGCCAAATAACGACATTCTTATGATGTTTGACAAGTTATACGTTTTGGCTAAAGGAGGACAGGCGGTCTACTCGGACAGACCTCAAAATCTGCGCCAACACTTAAAACAATGCGATATTGACTGCTCGGAAACAGAACTACCGATTGAAGTATTGGTGAAATATTCGTGTAAAAGATTGGATGAAGAATTGGTGACAAAATTGATACAAAAGACAAATGAGAGTGAATTGGATTTGATTAGAAAGCGATGCTCTGATGAGACAAACATCTCTCCAAATGGCATCACATTCTTAAGCAAACGATTCCTTATGAGAGACTTATTATGCCTATTGTCCCGCACTTTCACTCAGACTTATCAATACTTTTGGCGATTCTTAGTACTCAAGTTTGTGGTAACTCTTTGGTGTGGCTATTCAATGACAATACTATTTAGCCGAGATATAGGCCGACCCAGTGGTTGTCTTAATCTTGAGGACGACTTTGAAAATTGCAATAAAACCGCCGATCGATTGCGAGATGAACAACTTTTAGTTCAAAATGTTTTCTACAACTTCTCATTCATTCAGTTATTCTTATTCTTTGAATTGATTTCAACGACAATGACATTCACTCCCGACGTTAAACTCTTTTTTAATGAACATAGAAATAGTGAGTACTATTACAAGTCGTGAAAAATTATATTGATCATTTGTGTTACTGATAGGCTGGTACAGCACTGGCACCTATTACTGGGCCAAAGCCATCATCGAATTATTCCCAACCTTAATAATTACCGTTAGTTTTGTGTTTGTAGTCGATATCTACGGCGGGTATAAGTATTTTTGGGATTATTTATTCACGCTTCTTTTAGCGA